ATATATATTTGTTTTTTAGTCTAGTTTAGGAAACTTTTTGTTCCATAATTAATTTAAGGGAAATATTAAAATATAAGAAAGAACAATTTAATATTTTATCTGCTTTTTAATTTGATTTTAAAATGGAAAACAAAAATAAGGCCTAGGCTTTATGGAAAAAAATAAAGCCTCACCTCAAAATTTACCAAAAAGTGCAGTTTTCGCAGAAAAAAACATTTACATTAATCATCTTGACTTTGATCATTATGGTTGAGAAAAGGAAATAAGGATTTCAAGCCTTAAAAATAATATATATTGTAACACATTACCTAGACTGTCTATTTTCAAGTGTTCACAGATCCACGTGATTTGTAATATTTCTTGAGCTACAAATTTCATAATCCGCTATGGAAATTGATCTTAGAGCCATCATAGAAATCTATCATGCCCAAAGCTTTTTCTGGAAGAGGTTTCGAGGTGAGGCTTTATTTTTCCTCATAAGGCTTAGGCCTAATAGAAACTACATCATTTTTTTATTGGGTGCGGTTTGTATAGAGCCTAGGTTCAAACAATCAAATTAGAGCCTACCTTTAAATAGTGTCCAGAAATGTGGTTTCAATACTGGAAATCTTTGTAATAACCTTTAAATATATTTTCATCTTTATTTATAAAGTTTAAAGCTTAAAAAATAGTGTAGATTGCTAGATCTATTAAAACTTGAAAATTTTGAAAATTGACGGTCCAAAAATGCATTACAAATTACACTATTTTCAAATCTTGAAATCCTTTTTTTTTTTTCTCATGTACATGCATCTTGATGTCGAGACGATCAATTTGAATATATTTGGGCATCAAAACAACCTCTTCTAGTGAAATTTTTGAGGTAGGCTCTAATTTGATAGTTTAGAGCCTCGGCTCTATATAACCTTTTTCCCACGAGCATTACCTTTTGAAAATAAATTGAATAAAATTAGCATAATATGTTGTACATACTAAAATTTATGTATAGGCTATGTAGAATTCATCATATTATCCTTGTTTTCCTTAATTTTAGACCCAAGTCCTACTTTTTGGTGGTTTTTTATTCAAGTATTGATGCCAGTTCGGTTTTTTATTCAAGTATTGATCATCTTGACCTCAAGCGGTATGGTTGTAATTTTTTTTAAAAAAATCTTAAAAATAGTGCATCTTGTAACAAGTCTTTGGAACGTCTATTTTTAAGATTTTAAAGTGTTTATAGATCTGCTCAATCTGCAGCATTAACTTTTCTAAAAAGTATTCTGATGACGATTGGTCTCAATTCATCCTATCTCATTGGATCCAGGATGTGATATGGTTCTAAAGAATGAATGAGATATGGACAGTTCCATTAAGATTTCATTATTGGATTTGATATGGTTATAAAGGACGAACCTGATATGGACAGTTCCAATAAGATTTTTTTTTTTGGTAATTTAGTGGGGACGACAGGCCCCTACCCAGATTTTCAAGCAGATTAGGAGTTAGCCTTTTTGAATGGGTATTAGTCGTGTGGTGTTAGTGGTGGGAATGAAAACCACAATGTGGTGATTAGGATGTCGGGTGCTATCACCACGACCCGAGCCCCTTTCCCTCCAATAAGATTTCATTTATCATCATCATTAGATTTTTCCCAATTATTTGAAGGTGGCACCAATAAGATTTCATTCTTAAACAGCAATCATTTTGGGATTTACTCCACCAATTTTGTGCTCAGAACAAAAGTGGATACATGTTCCACTGCAATTTTGAGTCGGAAGAGATTTCAAGAAAGGATCGATCTTTCCTTTTCCTCGATCTTGATTCGCATACAAATTTTAGAATTATGATACCTGTTGAACTGGAGATATCTGTATTCTCACGGGTATCACAAAATTACTCAAGTACCAGAACAATAGGTTCGACAAAACCCTTGTATAGCTTCTTCTATTTCTCGATAAAAGAAATATGACCAACCATGGTTCTAATGTATATACAAACGATTTCTTTTTTTACACTTTTTACTATTCGATAGTGCTCGTGAATCTCATGGTAGATACCCAAATATTCATATTGAACTTCAATGGGAACTTCTCTATTTATTGAGGCAATCACGCATTGATCTAGTTGCTACCGGAGCCCCAAAGGACTGTATAAGTCGATTCGTGGTAAATTAAGAGATATCTATTGTATCAATAACCAAGGCCAATCTGATGTACCGTAAGGGATTAGCTATTACTTTTGATTCCTATAGATTGGATTAAAAAAAAGGATTATTCTTCATTGAGGTATTCAACACATTGAAAAATATTCTTCAATGAGGTATTCAACTCCTGGGATGAATAGAAAAGAAATATTTATTGGTTCTACTCAATGATGGCGGATTCGTCTCAAAGTCTTATTTGGTTTGGTGAGAAAAATAAAGTAATGCGGTACTTTGGTTGATTCAGGGAAGACTTTAAACATTTTTTTAAAAAAATTAGATATTTATATATAAAATATATACAAATAATGAAAAATTTTAAATTAAAATTTTAAAAAGTTTTTTTTTTTTTTTTAAAAACATTCATATAGCTATTTCTTTGCTGGTCAAAGCAGTCCCAAAGCAGACCTGAAGCTTAGCCGAAGCAAACTCGAAGTGGTCCGAATTTGACTGAAGCAGCCCGAAGCGGTCAAAATCTGACCGAAGCGGCAGCACCAGGCTTTGCTTCTCTTCAGTTTATGCCTAAAATTCGAAAGCTTCGGTCGAAGCGAAGCGAATTTGATAATATTGGTTCTACTTCATTTTTTTTTTACGAGAATGAATATAAACAAAGGAAATAAATGTTACTTCATTAATGAATAAACTAAAACATTACTTCATTAACGAATAAATTACGCTCTTCGGGTCAAAACATAGCAATTACCGTTCAAAATAAGATATCATTCTTAAACAAAAATCATTTTGTCATGTATTTCAACCAGTGTTTGAAAAGTCGGTGAGTGGTTGGACTCGGGAATCGGCACTCCCATGCCGATTCTAGCAAAACACGCTGAACTGCCCATGTCTAGAGAGAACCGGGCGATTCTGAACAGTGAACCGCCCGTATGACATCATAAACTGGCATAAACATGAAATAAACATTACTTCATTAGTGAATAAACTACAAACATTACTTCATTAACGAATAAATTACACCCTTCGGGTCAAAACATAACAATTACCCTTCAAAATAAGATTTCATTCTTAAACAAAAATCATTTTGTGATGTATTTCAACTAATGTTTGAAAAGTTGGCGAGCGCAGTTCCACTCGAGGATTGGCGAGCGCGGTTCGACTAGAGAATCGGCACTCCCGTACCTGTATGACATCATAAACTGGTGAGAACCTCCTCTCAAACGTTGGGCTGCCCCTGCACTCTCATGTGTGTACCTAGTTGGTTATTATATAGCCATTTATAGAGGAAAATGTATTACTCATCCTTGGATGTGGGATAATTCCCACAAACATCGTGCGTGCATTAAATTAAGACAAAAATTGAATATATACTATTAATATGAAACATAATATCACATGTTGTGATGTGGCATTGCTGGTTATCATTTGCACCTTTTCCTTGGATTTCTCAAGGTCGAAACCTTGACTCGGCATTATTTTACTTTATTTTATTTGTTGTAAAAAAATTTATTCTATTTGAAATCTCTTTTACCAAATTTATTCTAGAAACCCAAAAAAATAAATTTATAAAAAAATTTATTCTATTTGAAATCTCTATCACCAAATTTATTCTAGAAACCCAAAAAATTAAATTTGTGAAAAATTAAAGTGTTATTTCGAAAATTGGTACACATTCTAATAATTTTTATATTGATAATCAAATCTTTTATTTTATTTATTATTTTTTATATTATAAATCATGCAATGTACTATTTTTCTTATAGTTGTCAATAATACATTTTAAATTAAATGATATCATAAAATATTTTGGATTTATTATTATTTGTATAATAAAATAATTATAAAATGTGAACCAACAATTTTAATTTAAGTATATAATATTATAGTTAGTTAGGTTGTAATAATTTTGGTTTTTTTAGCGGATTAGGGTTTTTCGCCAATTCGAGATTTTAGTGGCCATTTTTTCATCAATTTAGTCTACTCTTTATTATAGTCCATGTATGATTATATACTTTATCCATAATAATTCTACGATTTTTTTTTGGTGTGATGTAAATTTAATGGTTAATATAAGTTTATATAGGGAAATAACATTTCAATATTCACAAATTGATGAAATAAATTAAAATTAATAATGTAGTACCATCATTTCTTATTGGATTCTTAAAAGACAACATTTATAATAAATTTTAATATTTTTTTTAGATTTTTTTTAAAGCTTAATTCAACTGATTCTCGATCCGGATCACCAATTCACTGATCCGAATGAGTTTTTAAAACGCCCGATCCGAAGCACCAATCCATTTTTTAAACCATTGATTTCAACCGTAGCTGAAACAAAAATGAATACACATTCCACCACAATTTCTTCGAATACACGTTCCACCACAATTTCGAAGAAAGGCGGATCAGTTTACCCTACCAATACCCAAGCCCGATCTGATGTACCATACATGATTAGCCTTTTCTTTTGACCCCTACGGATTGGATTTTAAAAAACAAAACTAACTCCAGTGATGAATAGAAAAGAAATCTTTATTGATCGTACCTCATATTTTTTATAAAAAAAATGAACATATAAAAAAAACAAGAAAGTGTAAATCGAGTAGGTCTATAAAAATCTTGAAAATTAAAGGTCTAAAAATGTGTTACAAGATGCACTATTTTCAAAACTTAAAATCTATTTTTTTATCATGTCGATGCATCTTGATGTCACGATGATCAATTTGAGGATACTTGGGCATCAAAACAGTGAACTTTATGAGGTAGGCTCTAATTTGATTGTTTAGAGCCTCGGTTCTATATAAACTTTTTCTTTCCTTAACGAATAAATTACAAATATTACACCCGACTTCAGGTCAAAACATAACAAGTACCATTCAACATGTCCATTACATCACCTTCATTCCCTACACCAACATTCTCCTTCAATTCTACAAAAGCGAAATCAATTATATTACTGAATCACTCATATAATCCATTAGAGCACTTTTAACTGTTACTAGTCCTACAACAATTCAACTGAACCAGACCTTCGGCTGATACACAGCAATCATATTCTCCTTTAACGCAAGAAGCACCATGAGAATGTCAAGCCTATCTAGTTCAATGAGTCTCACCATCTAAAGCAGGAAAGCATTTGCATAAAATCTCCACTCCCTGTTCGAGCTCGCGCTCCGATATAACAAGCGGAGGCGCAAGCCTGACGATATTCCCTTTACCTGCTGTTAAAACAAGAAGGCCTTCATCCCTACACTTATCGACCAAAGGCTGAGCCTTAACATCAAGTTCCACCCCAATAAGAAGACCAGCAAACCTAATCTCCTTCAAATGAGGGTTGGACCCTAGCTTCTTCCTTAGAAGCCCCTCTGTGTAGAGGCCCTTTTTGGCCACGCTGTCTAAAAAGCCAGGGCTTTGGATCTTGTCAAGCACAGTGAGAGCAGAGTGACACACTAGAGGGCCACCGGCAAAGGTGCTCCCGTGATCAGCTGGGTTCATGACTGATGCGACTTGTTCAGTCACTAGGGTTGCACCAATAGGTAAGCCACCAGCTAGAGGCTTGGCCAGCGTCATCATGTCAGGCTTTACACCATAAGCCTCATGGGCCCATAGGCGGCCTGTGCGCCCGAGCCCGCATTGGACCTGTGAATTTACATAATCACTGTAAGAAACCTATGCCAATGAGTGTTATTTCTGTCCAAACAATGGTGGATGGTGACAGATAAGAGAATGGGAACCCATTGGAACAGGATATGGCCACTTGCTCTTTATCACTTACTGTCCATTTGATTGGACAATGACGACTCTTGTTACCGTAGATTTTCTATGGTCACAAGGATCATGCGATACTTCAATTTTGAGACCACCTAACGCGGAGTATGCTATAATCCCCATGACCAAGGAAAATCCATGTTCAGGAGAGTCATCACATTCTTAGCAATTGGATGGTGGGAGATAGGAATAAAGCACCCCATACATGTAGTAATGGGCCCAGCCACTCCATTCATTAGACAAGATGATCCTCATAACCATCAATTTTCCATGGTTATGAGCCCATTATCCAAATCATACACACTAATATCTCTAAGAACAATGAACTTGCTGAAATCTTAGTAAAAGAGTAACACTCAAACAATATAAAATAAAAGAATTTCTCACCTCATCAAAGACAAGAAGTGCCCCAGCATCATTGCAAGCACTTCGTAGTGCCTCTAAAAACTCCGTCGCAGCGCTGTAAATTCCACCTTCACCCTGCACAGGTTCCACAAAGACTGCAGCTATTTTTCCAGAACGGATTGCCTTTACAGACGCTTCTATATCTCCATATTCTAAGAATGTTACTCCTGGCATTACAGGTTCATAAGGTGACCTATAGTGCTCCTTGCTTGTCAGAGCAAGAGATCCCATTGTCCTTCCATGGAAGGAGTTTGTATATGAAATGAATTCTGTAGGTGGGTTTTTGTCATTTGGCCGAATATCTCGCTGAAACTTTCTCGCGAATTTAATAGCAGCTTCATTTGCCTCAGTACCAGAGTTCGAGAAAAAGATGCGATCAGCAAAGCAAGAATCCACGAGGCGTTTTCCAAGCATTACCTGCACTCCAAACATCATTTCTGGTTAATCATAGATAGTCACAGATAGAAGCCGATTGGGATGGACGATTCATCCCTCTATAAGTTGACGGAGTACTTTATCTATACCTAAGCCATCCATTGCGAAACTCTAGATTTTGGTCATTCATTTGGTGATGTGTGGGCATGCTTGCTTTTGATTAACAAAACAAAGAGAGAAATCAATGGTCATTATGTCTCTGCATCAAACAGAAACCATACAAAACAACAAACACATTCGCACAAAGAGTGCCATGGAGTCAGCAGTACATGGTACTACACATTAGAGGGAAAATGGTGATCAGGGCATTCGTATGTCATTTGATTCTCAATGTTAAGGAAAAAGAAATAGGACAGACAAATTGCAAGTATGCAGATAAATACCAATAGCAAACACATGTGAATGTCATCCTTATGAGAAAGGGATATCCAGGCAAAAATACCAGATTCATATCCTTATAATCAGTTTTATAGAGGACTAATTTTCAATACCTCAATGAATATTTGAATGTTGGAGGAGTCAGTTGAAACCTTAGAGACGAGCTAAGGCAATGCTAGCAGCAGCAAATAAATAACAAAAATATATGTAAAACAAATATGCACATCAAGACAAGGAGTGATAACAATAGTTGGATCAAGCACTCATCTGCTCAATGAGATATTCCAATTATTCACAAAAGCGGGGATGAAAACACAGGATGATGGTTTAGTTCTAAATAATATCGAGGCAAACCAATATAATTTTTCTTTGAGAAAATGCAAATCACTACAAATTGGGTAGAAAAAGAAAAAGGAAAAGTGAGTTTACAATTCTATATGGACATATGACTATCTGAAGAAACTAAGGGAACACATCTAATAATTTGTCCCGTGAGTCCTCAGCAAGAACATACTGAAACTCAAGAGCTCGTTCATTAAATGATGTAAGAGACTGCATAGTCATGCTGGCTTAATGCATAGACTAAATTTTCCATCAAAATCCTGACACTAGTTACTGTATGACCCTTGGCCACGAAAGAAGGCTCTTTTTCTTTTCTTTTTTTTCTTTTTTTTTTTTGGAAAAGGTTAACTGTAACCAGGAAAGAAGCTTTATGACAATCAACTTTCTCATTGGATAAGTATTTGATCTATACAACCACAGGCTACCAAAAAACATTCATACCAGTATGAGGAGGAACAAAGAATAGTTACATGGCGCAAGAGTGGAAGAACGACCAGAAACAGAGTGCCGAAAACTTCAGTGTTTAAAAGGATTAGGGGAGAAGCAGGTAGGAAAAAAAATGTTCATGGTTCTTGCAACAAAAGAACATAGTTAAAAAGACAAAAAAGAATCAATAGAGTGAATACCTGGCTCAGTAGATGCATGAAGTGCTAGGGGACAAAAGACTGATGACACACGGATTAAGCCAGAGAATGACAAGACATAACCGGACAATGAGAACAATATTTACTTGAATGGGCTCCTTCCTTCGAGTAATTTAACATGGGAAACTACAATACTCAAAGGATTTGCTGAAGCAGGGGTGATGGCTCAACCTGAAAGACACCCTGACAAACATGTTTATAAACTGGTGTTGGCTTCCCTTCAGGAGTCAGACTAGAAGGCAAGTATCAAGCTTCCATTATTGAGGTGGCCTCCAAGAGATGTAAGGAAATGGGACGATTGAAGTTCAAATGCCATGAAACACAAGATGATTTTTGATAATGAGTCCAATACCTAAGAGATGCACTAAACTGTCTATGGAGCAAATTTATTGTCTTAAACCATAATAAGGACTTAAATCATAATAAGGACAGGGTAGCGCACACACACAAAAGTAGGAAACGGAAAAAAAAGATAAGAGTCCACAAGTATAATGAGGAGATTATTGTGGCATTCAGAAAAAAAGGGAAATCACAGTGTAGTGTGGGTGTGGAAAGTGAATTACTCAAATAGACTACTGCGAAAAATGTAACCGATAAGCATGGGGATGCCTTAAAGCAAAACATAAGTCCAATCAAGCTCGACGATATATCAACATTTGCATTCAGAACCCTGATTTTTATGTAGTTCTAAAAATGACATCTTTTGTGTAGTTCATTGTATAAATTTTGTTCTGGCTTTTACCCTTTTTTTGTATCGCTGTAGCTCTATTCCAACCATTTACATCCATATACAATTTTCATAGAAAGTCAACTTTGTAAGAAAAAAAAGAAAGTTTCTCAAACCACACCTAAAATATCACTAAATAAAATATCACTAAAGCACTATAATATTTAACTGCGTTTCCACCATGGCTTGAAACTTCATAATACAAAATAGTTAAAAAAAAAGCAACACTAGATCTACTCCGTAGTTATAAACAATAAAAGCTAATGCAATAATCATCTTTTTGTGCACTGCTAGTGTGGGCCCCATTTATTATTGGATTCTTAAGCAGCGTAAATTATCAACAAATTACACGCAAATGCATAAATACAACTAATGCCACAAATGTAAGAAATGCAACAACAAAGAAATGAGGTTAATACCAGAAATAAAACTTCTCATTATGAGCAAGAAAACAAGTAATCAATAAACATATGAATACACAGATAAAAGCACGCAAATCATGAAGCTTATCACTGAATGCAAACACATTCCAAATAATTCAATTATAAGAATACAATTGAGAAAGCTCAACTTTGTCAAAACTTTCAAGTAAGAAAAAAATGGAAATTTAAAACATTGTTAACAAATAAATTAATAAACATATGAATACACATATAAAATCATGCTAATCATGAAGTTTATCACTGAATACAAACACATTCCAAATAATTCAATTATAATAATACAATTCAGAAATCTCAACTTCGTCAGAACTTTCAAGTAAGAAAAAACTGAAAATTTTAAAAATTGTTACCTGTGGAATAGAATAGTAGACATTGCTAACATGGGTAAGGGTATTAGCTTGTTCAGTAATGGCTTTCACCCAATCTGGATCTGAGTGCCCAATAGAATTAACAGCTATCCCACCAGCCATGTCCAAATACTCTTTCCCTTCTGTATCATACAATCTACATCCCTTCCCAGAAACAAAAACAACAGGAGGCCTCTCATAAGTCCTCACTAAATACTTATTCTCAATTTCTATGATTTCTCTGCCCTTTCCAAACCCTAATTCCAAATCTGAGGAATCAAAAGAAGCTTTTTCCTGGAGCTCAGATAGAGCAGAGGTCTTAGAGGGGGTTGCAGGGACAAAAGTTCTTCTAGGGTTTGTTGTCTCTGGAGCCAAAAAATTAGGGTTTGAGGCTCCATCTATAGAGAAAGGATTATTGGTGACGGCATTTAGCGGGAACAATGACTTTTTAGAGTTTGAGCTTGCACTTCTGTGGAGAAAATCGTTAAAGATTGCATTTAGTGGTTGGAATGAGTTCCTCTGGGTTGTTCTTGCCAGTTGTGGAGAGAGAAAATTAGGGTTCGAAGATTGTAGAGTTGCAGAGAGAGATTTGTTGCAGAGTGCTGCATGAAGAGAAGTCATTCTCCAGAGCTCCAATTGGCAGCGCTAGCCAATGACAGTGCGGTATGATATTTATAGTAGAAAACGGGACGAAAGTTCCCCGCATTGTTTCCGAATATAACATTAGTAATCTTCACAATTTTGCCGGTGAAAAGAATTGTATTAAGGGTGCAGTTGGCACATGGATGCGTCCGTAAGGTGCACTTTCAAATTTTATTATATTATGATATATAATTTTGGTGTAAAATGTTTTTAGGATTATTTTAAAATCTATTTTTATATTTAATTATAAAAATTTAAATTAAAAAAATAATTAAAATCAAGTAGATCTATAAATATATGAAAATCTTGAAAATAGACGGGTATAGATAATAAGTTATAAAATACACTATTATTTAGACTTAAAATCTTTTTATTTTCATGCTCATATATCTCGATGTCGAAATGATCAATCAAAGGGTTTTTTAACATTAAAACTACTTTTTTGGATGGATTTTTGAAGTGCATCCGTAGTTATACATTATAAGGTTGCATCCTTATATAAATTTTTTTCAAATAAAAAATACCTTAATACTCTTCCATCAAAATTTGAAATTCCTATAATTACCTTTATGTTACCCACTTCTTCCTCCTTAAAACTCTTCAATCAAAATTCAAAAATTCAATAAATCATCTCACTTACCTCTTCAAACTCTCCATCAAAATTCAAAAGTCCTATAACTATCTTTATTTCATGCATCTCTTGCAAAATGTGTCTTAAAACCTTCCCATCAAAATTCAAATTTCCCAATAACTTTCTTAAAACACACCTTTTCATCAAAATTTAAATATCCTATAACTATCGCAACCAAAAAACCTGTAAGTATTGTTTTTTCGCCTTCATTTTCTCTTTCCTCTTTCACTCTACTATCACTTATTCTCTCTTCTATCATTCTCTTTCTCTATCACAATCTCTAGCTAAAAATCATGGTCATTCTTCCTTACACACTCTTACTCTTGACTCATTCTCTTTTTACTGTCCTTCTCTTTCTTATAATACAATCTCTGACTGAAAATCATACTCACTCTTTCTCACGCACTCTTTGAATGAAAGCCTAAATGAATGGATTGATGTGTTATTTGATCGTTTTTATGAATACAGATGTCTTTCTAAATCATCTCTTTCCTCGTGTTTCTCTATTTTTTTCCCATCTTTTTGTCTCTTACTTGTCCTAAAATCTCTCCTATATATTTTGCTTTGTATTTTTCTCATCTATCCTAAAATCTCTTATACAACCTATTTCTCTCTCCCCTTAACCCCCTCTCTCCATCATAGTTAGCAAGTCCCCAATTTAAGCGCGACTTTTTCAAAAAAAACTGCGCTTTTTTGAAAACGATTTAATCTACGTCTTTTTCAATAGATCCGTAAAAATAATAGATCTTTTTCAAGAAGAAGTTTAAAACACGACTTTTTAAAAATTTGAAAAAAATCGTTTCAAAAAATCATTCCTATTAATATACTATGATTTTTTTTTGGAAAGCTCAATATCTTTTTCTTGTTTTATGAAATTTCTATTTCTATTTTTATTTCTATTCTCCGAAAACTTTCTCTGGTGTTTTGCTATGGATATGGTGCGTGTTTTTTCGGATGGTTATGGGTAGACCATAGTTAGCAAGTATGGGGTTGACAATTTCTTTCTCGTAAGATAAAAATTGAATTCACCTACCCAATACTTATCTTAATGAATAGAATAGATAATCATCTTATGATTTAGAGATATATCACCTTGAATATTTATATTTATAGGGAGGTCATTTTTATACTTAGTGATATATATAGAGTGAAAGCATTACTCCTCACTACTATTAATTTTTTCTATATTGAGTGATTTATATATTTAGAGTTTTAAAATTTCTAATATTTTAAATATATACAAATTTTTTACTCCGATTTTTTGAGCCTAGTCCAATATAAATGAAGTATTTTTGCTGATCCATATTTTTAACCCAATTTTTTTATTCGACTTTTTAAAATAAAAACGATTAGTTTCCGATTTCATGGTGAGCCGATTTATTGATAATCCCTTACTTTCTAACTATGCTCTCCATACCCCCATCCTCTCTCCCTCCACATACCCCTTTCCCACTCATGCCCTCTCTCTACCCCTTCCCTCACATGCCTTCTCTCTCCATAATAAATATATATATATATATATATATATAGATATCTTAATTTTTGGGGCCTTTGTGGTTTTTAAATTTGGAGGTCTTTTGTGGTTTTTTTTAGGTCTTTTTGGGAATTGCCTTATGCGTATTGGTCAATTTTATAGTTATATTTCATACTTTATTTGTCATGAAAAAAAAGATTGATATAAATCCATGGTAGGTCATCATGAAAATAAATATTTGACTTAGGCTTTATTGGTTAATTTTTAAATTTATAGGGAATTGATTTATGCTTTATTGTTTAATTTTTAAAATTTATATTTGAAAACCTAGAGTCCTCATAAAAATACTTTATCTTCTCCAAAAATTTCTCAATAACTTTTTTTTCCTATTTTAATCCCTTCCCTCTGATCCCCCCTCTCTACCTTCCCTCACACACACTCTCTCCATAATATCTCTCTCTATTTTAAAGTTTATATTTCATATTTTATTAGTTCATTTTTTTAAAATTTATATTTTATGTTCATTTTTAAAATTTATTTTTTTGTAGTATTAAGCCTAAAAAACATGTGGTTTACAAAAATCTTTAGTAGGCCATCATGAAAACAAAGATCGAAATAAATCCTTATATCGGTTATCTGTCTTTATTTGTCTATTTATTTATTATTTCTATCATGTGCGTCCCTGTAAGATCTATGCATGTTCCAAATTTTGTTTCAAAATTATTTGTAGAATAAAACTAAAAAACTTTGAGCCGTCTAATAAAGGTATTACCGTTAAAAGCTAGTATGTGACATTGTGACACAAGCCATCTCAACCATCTATTCTGATTTGACAACTGAGATCAGAGGTCACATATACTATACATATGAGTGAGGTCACATATTGCCCATCATATAATATACAATTAAGGGGCAGCTCTAAATTTTGCCAGAAGATGTAGCTCAATGTTGGAAATACAGGGGAAGTATAAAAACCTTTCCCAAAGTAGATCAAGGAAATGGCTTAGATACTTTGTTTGTCATTTATATTTTACAATGTTTATGTGTCAAATTAGAGAAATATGAGGTACTTTAATCTGATGAACTCAGTTGCTCTTATTAACATTTAGAGTTTAAGTTAGTTTGGCAGTAACTAGAGAAACCTAGAATAAGTTGGGCAATATTCTAGGTGTGAATGTCGCGTATAAAGGGTTGATAATTGTAGTTAGAAATCTCAATAATTGCTAAGAACAAATTCGATTCTTTATAAAAGCTCATGATCTCTCCAATATAACCATTGGAGATGTGTGCTTTTCCCAACTCTTAGCATCAAATCACATAGAATAAAATAGACTTTTATTTTGACAATGATTAAAAAGGACACAATAATTTGGCTTCTATATTCAAACATGGAATAAGAACAAGACAAAAGAGATTACACTTGTAAACACTCATTCGTGGAACCATAGTTTTCAACATTGGACAACACCGACTGGTCCAACTGGTTGGGTTAAAGATCAAGGTTTTGACTGATCTAGCCCACTTTAAATATTATGTTTAGTTGAAAAGTGATGAAAATTAATGTACTATTTTTGGCTTGTCAGTTTTAAGCCGTCGAACTGGCCAAAAAATATTAGTTGAGTTTTTTATTATACATTCCATATTTTTCAAGTATTGCAACTATTTTTATATTTTAAAAAAAGTTCAATCTAATCCGTTAGACTTGCAATCAAATCGGTTTTGATTGGATGAAACCCTTCACCAGTTCAATGATTGATCTAGTTCGGACGATACTGTTGAAATCGCTAGGATTCCTTGGTCTTTTTTGGGCCAATTTGAAGTTTCAAGTTCAGTCTCGATTTTCTTGCGCCAATAGAGACCATCAAGTTCCAATTCTTAAATCATGGCAGACACTCCATGAATCTAACAACTAAATTCAAATAAACGCAAGAGCAAAACATGAAGACCTTTTTTTTTAACAATCTATCAATATACACCTAATTTATCAATTATCTAACATTCAGCTCATGATCATGTGTATTTTGAGAAGATTTTTAAATTAAACAAAAAACGTAATAAGTTGTTAAATAATTCATACCACAAGTGCATTTTGATCAATTTATTATAGATTCAATTTACACGAATAAAATATAATCCCTATATGTTTACTATTTGTATTCTTCTATTTCTTCCTTCTTCCTCTATTTTTACTATACTTATTATGGAGATTTACTCCTTTATTTAATGGAAATTAACAATAAACGTTAAAAAAAAAAGATAAAAAAAAGATAAAAAGAAGTAGTAGGATCCATCTCTTTGGTTACATAAAAGCAAGTTCCTAATAACATCATGTGTGGTCTTTGCATCCCCCAAGGCACAAAACATTCATATCAAAGATAGATGCAAATGGGTGGTCCCTCTAAAAACATTTAAAACCATCGCTCTAAATAGTTTCTTCAAAATTATTATTTTCAGTTTTTAAAAATTACTATTTTTATATTAATGATCTTCATGTTAGAGGTTATATATTCCTAAAAAATTAGCTCCAAATTCATCTAAAAAATGGAATTTTTGGAATTTTAAGAGGGAACTCATTTTTACATATGAGTATATATTTATTTCATTTGGCAAGGAAACTCCGAACATATTTTATGCCATCATTGCAGCCGGAGCCTTCAAAACATGATCATCGATGGTTTATACTCCCTCGCTGGAATGGATTGTTCTCTTGGTACCGCAGGCAAAACAACTGCACAAGAAGATATATTTTTTGCGCGCCCTCCCAACGATCAATATCAAAAATGAAAAATGTATGGGTATTTATTTTATTTTAAATTTTAAAATTTTAAAAATTATATTGAATTGAAATTAATATTCAAACTTCTCAATCATGTACTCAAATAAATATAGAAATAATTTAGAAAACTAAATTGATCAAAATAACTTCAAAATATTAAAATAT